GCTGCAGTCTGCTTCAGAGCCCTTGTCAGTTTTCACTCCTTCAAGTGGGTCAACAGGAAGCGTCACGCTTTGTTGGTGCACAGCTTTCAGAGCAGTGCCCAGAACAGAGGCATCTGAGCATCGGACAGTGCAGTTAGCTTCAATCCCTATCAGACTCGACAACGGAAACCTGGAGGGAGGCTTTCACCGTGAAAACGGCAGATACACAGAAATTGCATCCAGTTTCAGCTACTCTGTCTAGACAGCACTCTGAAGCCACCTGGAGGGGCTGCCCAGGCAGGTTGAAGATGCCGTTCTGGCTCACCTCAAGGAACCATTGCTCTGTGGAAAGGGTGCCCCATGCTGGAAACAGTCGGTCCATTCACGTTCTCACCTGCAGCTGGTTACAGCATTCAAGTACAGATTTACCATTTGTACTCATGGCAGCTGTAACCCTCCTCCACCTCTTCAGATCTTTGGCTAAAAATCATCCTTGCCTAAAAAGCAGAGGTGAGGCTTTTTCCTTCTACCGATTGTCAACTGTAACAATTCCACCTCCCGGGCCCGGCGCGGTGGCGCAAGTGGTTGAGTCCTCGCCTTGCACGCCCGGGATCCCATATGGGCACCGGTTCTAATCCCGGCAGCCCCGCTTCCCTTCCAGCTCCCTGCCTGTGGCCTGGGAAAGCAGTTGAGGACGGCCCAAAGCTTTGGGACCCTGCACCCGCGTGGGAGACCCGGAGGAGGCTGCTGGCTTCGGATCGGCATAGTATCGGCCCATTGCGCTCACTTGGGGAGTGAATCATCGGATGGAAGATCTTCCTCTCTGTCTCTCCTCTCTGTATATCCGCCTTTCCAATGAAAAAATAATAAAAATAAATCTTTAAAAAAAAAAAAAACAATTCCACCTCCCCCCTAACTTTGGAACTGGAATGACTTGAAGGAAGAACTGCGTGGGTAGTGTCCCTAAGCTGCTTCCAACACTCCCTTCAGGCAGTTGCATGCTTCCCCCTCAGAAGCCTTCTCAGTCAGATGGCAGTTCAGTTTCCTTTGTGGAGAGCAGACCTAGATGCACTGGCAGTACCAGCTCCGGGCAGGGACTGGGTGGGAGCTCAGCGGTCACCTCCCAAGGGAGGCAGAAATCAGCAGCTGGCTTGAGTCTTCCAGCGCTGCCCAGGAGCCACCTCCCTTTCACTCAAGCCCCCGACAAGGCAGGCTTGCTCTAAAAAATGCACCCCCGGGAGTCTGCCCAATGTCTCTATTGCACACCTTAGGCCAAAACCAGTTACAGACCTTCCTATCACTTAAATTACAAAGAGCTGCTAATCTTCCTGAAGTGCCAGTGTGAGTTACAGCATTTCCTTTTCATCCAAATGGTAGAAGCTGTTGGTGTGTTTTATCTTTGCCAGAATCTACATTTTGAATAAAGGATGTTTGTCACCAACTTGAAGGTTTGTTTTTGGCGAGGTGGGGTGGAGGTTGGCACCTTGGGAACTGGCCACAGGAATGGTACCAGGTTTCCAGGGCTTCAGTTTCTCTTCTCAGTCTATCTGCTGAAAGATCCATGTCTATTTACAAGGACCAAGGCAGGAAGGATACACAGGTGTAGCACCCTGTAGCAGTGGTGGCAGACTCTGGATAGAACTGGGATTAGGCAAACAGCTCCATACAGGGAGAGCCAGAATGGGGCCCAAGAACCTGCATTAAGAGAAAGTCATGGGGCCTGGCAGAGTAGCCAAGGGGCTAAAGTCTTTGCCTTGCATGTGCCAGGATCCCATATGGGCACTGATTCTAATACTGGCGGCCCTGCTTCCTAGCCAGCTCCCTGCTCGTGGCCTGGGAAAGCAAGCAGTCGAGGATGGCCCAAAGACTTGGGATACTGCACCTGTGTGGGAGACTCAGAGGAGGCTCCTGGCTGCTGGCTTCAGATCAGCTCAGCTCCAGCCGTCGCGGCCACTTGGAGTGAATCATTGGATGGAAGATCTTCCTTTCTTTCTGTTTATCTGACTTTCCACCACCACCAACAAAAAATATATATAACCTCTTTTAAAAAGTCACGTAATTCTGATAGTTTTGAAAACTGAGGGGTAAAGAGTTTTCAAAGTTTAGATAATTATACTCTAGCTGCAGCATTTCCCATAAGGTATCATTTATTATGGGTTGTTTCCCAGTGTTTGAAACCGGAATTCCCTATTGGAGTGCCTAGACTTGAGGTTCCAGCTCTGCTCCCGACTTGAGCTTCTGGGTCTGCTCAGCTTGGGAGGCAGCTGGGTGCCTGCCACCCACGTACAAGGCTGTGCCTGAATTCCCTGTCTCTGGCTTCAGTATGGCCCAGTCCTGACTGTGGTCACTGGGATAGTGAATCAGTAGAGGAAAAATATCTACCTGCCTTTAAATACATTTACTATGGATACTTTATTTTAACGTATTAACAGGTGATTTCATTTTAAGCTTCCCTTTAGAATTCCAAGTAGTATAAGCAGAGAACTTTAAATGCTCAAATTAGGGCCTGGCGCGGTAGCCTAGCGGTTAAGGTCCTCGCCTTGCATGCGCCGGGATCCCATATGGGCACCAGTTCTAATCCCGGCAGTTCTACTTCCTATCCAGCCTGGGAAAGCAGTGGAGGATGGCCTAAAGCCTTGGGACCCTGCACCCACGTGCGAGACTTGGAGGAAGCTCCTGGTTTTGGATCAGCTTATCACTGGCCATTGTGGTCACTTGGGGAGTGAATCACTGGACACATCTTCCTCGCTGTCTCTCCTCCTCTCTGTATATCTGACTTTGCAATAAAAAGAAAATTTTTAAAAATGCTCAAATCGTGCTTAAAACCCACCTAATTGTAATCACCATCGTCAAAAGGCTCTAGACTTGAGGTTCCATTCATTTTCAACAGTTCTCCAGTCACACTGAAGTAGCAACACTCTTTTGGGGTTAGTCAGCCAGCATAGGGACCTCTGTCCTGCAGATGTAATGAAAAGGTAGGGGTGGGTGTGGCTGTGTGTGTAGCAAAGTCTTTTAAAGACACAGACCTCAGGCCCAATGCAAAAACCTAGAGGCTAAATCCTCATCTTGCATCTGCTGGAATCCCAAATGGGTGTCGTCCTGGCGTGTCCTGGCTGCTCCACTCCCCATCCAGTTCCCTGCTAGTGGTCTGGGAAAGCAGTAGAGCATGGTACAAGGGTTTGGGACCTTTCACCCATATGGGAAACCCGGAAAAAAGGTTCCTTAGTGTTGGTTTGACTCAGGTCTGCCTGATTAGGGAGTGTCCACTAGAGAGTGAACCAGCAGATAGATTTTGCTCACTCCTCCCTGTGAATCTGCCTTTCCAATAATTAAAAGGGATACAGACCTTGCAAATGATCAAATGAATTCATAGCAGATCTTTAGAATCCCCAAACTAATTGCTTAAAATGCCAACTTTTGATGTCAATATTTACAATTTCTCACATTCGAGTTAGGGCTCTTTTGCAAATTCCTATTCAAGAACAAGCAGCTCACTAGAGTTTTTTTTTTTAAAGCCTTATGTAGGGCCGGAGCGATGGCGCAGTGGTTAAGGTCCTCGCCTTGCATGCCTGGGATCCCATATGGGCGCCGGTTCTAATCCCGGCAGCTCCACTTCCCATCCAGCTCCCTGCCTGTGGCCAGGGGAAAGCAGTTGAGGATGGCCAGTGGAGGACGGCCCAAAGCTTTGGGACCCTGCAACCACGCGGGAATAGGGCCCGGCTGCGATGGCGCAGTGGTTAAGGTCCTTGCCTTGCATGCGCCGGGATCCCATGGGCGCCGGTTCTAATCCCGGCAGCTCCACTTCAGTGGAGGATGCCCCAAAGCTTTGGGACCCCGCACCTGTGCAGGAGACCTGAAGAGGCTCCTGGCTTCGGATTGGCTCAGCTCCAGCCGTTGCGGCCTGGGGAGTGACCAGCGGACAGATCTTCCTCCCTGCCTTTCCAAGAGCAGAATCTTGATAAGAGTACAGTTCTCAATTGTGATTAGTTTCCACATGTCCCAAATTAAACAGAGGAAGATCTTCGTCCAATGGAGCTGGATGGGAAGTGGAGCAGTAGGGAAAGAAACTGGTGCCCATATGGGATGCCAGTGCTTGCAAAGCCCCCAAGCCCTTCAACTGGTCCATGCCACCCTAAGTTAAAATATTCTCCAGTTCTCCTGTGTCCACTACAGGTATATGTACTCATTTTTTCCTCTGATGGGAGTTGAACATTCCTCCAAAGGAGAGAAACCATTTGAATTCTTATCTGCAGAGTGAGATATGTATGGCAGGTAGAATCTTGAGATTTTTCATCTCCCCTTACCTTCTATGATTAAGGTTATTTGCAATATAGTGATTAAAGTCACTTAAGGCTAGTATAAAAACAACAAAGGGTCCGTAAAATATACTTTCAACCTAGGGTGAGTGTGTGACAGTGGTTAGGTTGCCATTTTCCCATTTCCCACATCAGAGTCCTGGCTTCTGATCTAGCGCTTCCTAATGCTAACTGGGAGGTGGCTGATGATGGCTCAAAGTGCTTGGATCCCTGTTTCCACTTGGGAGGCGTGGACTGAGTTCTGCTCTGGGTTCGGCCTGGTCCACTTCTGATTGTAGTGGGGGAGGGAGCCAGGGGATGCAAGACTGCTCTCTTAAATACAATTTTGTGAATACATATTTGATTATACTTTATTGTGTTGAAAATAAGATGTTTAAACTCTGCTCCATGAGCTAAAAATTCCCTGAAAAGAGGTTACAGTTCTATTATAGCATCTAATTCGGCGAAAGTTACCTTCAGTCTCTTGGGAAACAAAATACTCTGGTTATAAAAAATAAGGATCCCTATAACTGTAATTTGTTATTCTTTCTCATTTAAAACCAAACCAGAAATGTTTCACATTTTGGTCATTAACAGAACACGTAAATTAAACTGAACTTGGCCTAACAACTACCATAAAGTTTTCAATCCATCTTGCAATAGCAAGGTAGAAGTATAAGAAATAGAAGTTAGAATTATTACAAGGAAAAACAAAGATAACACTAATTTACTTTGAAAAATCATTTATTTTTTGAATCAAAAAGTATATTTATGTTCCACTTAGAAAGTCTAGTTTTCCATTGATCTTTCAAAACCCTTTTCCAGATAACAGTGCTCAGAACTATGTAAAGTTCACATCCAATACTACATTTAAGAGAAGGTTTAAATGTAGAACCTATTTCTAAGACATTGTTCTGAAAGGTTGAGGCATTGGCAATTCCAATTTAAAGATGAAAGAATTACATTACTGAACATTTAAATGACAGTGAGTCTCAAGAGCTTAAAGACCATTGGGAAAAAAATGAGGGAAACATGCCGAATAACTTCAACTAAAAATACTCCACCCACCCCAGCTCAACTCCCATATTATTAAATGCATTATTTTACCTTAGAACAGGAAAGTTATAACATGAAGTGTCTAAATTACTTTATATATAAATACACCATTTTAATTGCCATGTTTGCTAGCAGAATCATAAAAGTTTTACATTCACGGGGCCAATGCTCTGAGTCTATCCCACTCTGCCGTTTCCGACTCCTGTTTTAAAATCATGACCAAAGGGCAACACTCCATCCATTTACCCCAACTTGAAGAGCCAGCAGGTAGGGGGCCTTCTCACAGCAGGTCCTTTAACAAGGCCAGCCCTAGAAGAGAACATGATTCTGGAAGGCTTCTGAATTCCAGTGTGACTGGGAGGCCCCGGTCTCCACAATCCAGATGTTTCTTATGGGATACTCCTCTCTCAGGAAGCATGGCCAGCATGCAAACCTCGCCAACTTGTTCCAATTGATGTAAAACAGATCAACAAGATTTACAGAAGCTGAATAACGAAGCTAACCTTTTGCTAATTTCAAATAAAGTGATGTTTGAGGTTTTCTCAGAAGGTTCTCAAGCCAGGGTTTTCTGTCTTCACAGTCACTTCTTTCAAACCCATTGTTGGTAGACAAAGTTTTCAAGGAAGGAAACCCTTTTCCTAGAATCAGCATTTCATACTCAGCACAGTAACAACTTCTCATTATTTTATCTTTCAAATTTATTAAGAACTCAGGACTGGGCATTGATTTTCCCTACCCCTAGGTACCAAGCAACACCAATAGGACCCATAAATAGGACTTTTTTGATATAGGCACAAAAGTGTGCTAATATTTTTACAATATGCTGTACTTTTTTTTTTCAAACATGAAAGATGACTGAGAATTAGTAGCAGTTGTGATTAATTTCAGAACAAGCACAAATTTAAACCCTGATTTTTTTTGGGGGGGGGGCAGCCTCACTTAAAATAGTCAAATTTTACTCCACTTTCCGGTTTTAAATCAAAACAAATGAACACCACCACAAAAAAAGCCACTCAACTGGCATCAAGTCCCATATTCCAAAGTTATTTTTAACCCAACAATCATAACCTACTGCCAGCAATTATTTATATGTATCTGTTTTCTTATTACATAAGGACTGGTTAGTTATATATAAAAATTTCCAGGAATGGTACTTGGCACTGGGTTACCTTAATAATTCTGTAATAAATAGAAGCATTTAGAAAACACCAACTCCTAAGTGTTTCTTTTACATCTGTAGTTAGAATTAATACAAGTATTTTTATGTGTTGTTTTTCCACTAATACAGTCTAGGAAGGGTAGTCCTAGCTAACATGGTTGTTTTAAACAAATCCCTAAGCCACATGGTGATGGAATACTATACTTGCTTGTTATATCATAGGGTAAGCAGTTCCAGGCAGACCAGAGGTAAACTAGCCAAATCAAAGTACTGTAATGAAGTTCATCTTTTGTACCTCAGCAGAAAACCTCCAATTTTTTAAAATCAAGGCAACCCGCCCCCTCCCCCAATGCAAAAACCCACCCCAACACTTGTGTTTTGAGTTCAACATTCCCTAAGATATTAACAGGAGAAGCTTGAAGGTACTCAAAGCTGCAGGAGTCACTGTTAGAAGAACCACACTGCAAAGTAAACACCCACCCACCCCTTACCACCCCCACCCCAACAACAGGGAAAAGCTCCTGGTAAAGTTGCGTCCTATGCTAATAAATGCAGACCACCTAGTGTGCTAAAGACTACAACGAGCAGCATTAGAGCAGTAAAGGGAAAACAGGAAGCTTACAGGAGATCTAAATGCCTATCTAGAAGAAAAAAAGCGAAAGACAGAACCTTTGCCCTTTTGTTGTGTTTGTACCCACATTAACAAAAATTTAACAAAGCTTTCCCAAGACACCAGAATAAAACTTGACCTTTCTTGTCAAAGGGCAGAGAAGCCTCTTCCATGTCCAGGAGTTAAATGAGTTCAAAGATTGGCAATAAAGGAAAAAAAAGCATTAGGGGTGTGATGGAACAAGCTGGGGGGTTTATCGCACAGTCACACCAAGTTTCTCTAGCACACGAACACCCTTTTCTTGATACTCTTGTCGGGTCATCCAAAAGTTGTCTTTGTCTTTCATGATATCTGCTAGAACTGCACCACCCAAGAACACCATGTGCTTTCTGCGAGGTGGGTCTTCAATGCGGATCTTGAATTTCTAAAGGAGAAAAAGGATAAATCATCAGGCATGCATACTTTCTGCATTCTGCTCAGTGAAAATGACTTGCATATATTCTCTTGTTGAACCTCAGTTGTGCAGTGTATGCAGAAGTTGACAGCTGAGATATATGGATACTGACTGGCCCAGCGTTCACAGGAGACAGCCAAACTAGCCCACTGTGCTTGAACAGTCCTTTCTTCACTTAGCATTCGGCCTTCTTACTAACAGCACTCAGTTTTCTCTGAAGTGTCCTGTTTGGAACAATATATTTCACATCACTCTCTGAAAGCCCAAGTAAAGAGGCAGGATTAACTAGGTTTTCCAATCAGCTGGTAGACGACCACATGTACAGGTCACTTAACTGTCCAATGAAGCCTTGATGAGGGGACTTAGGTCTAACAACATCAGGGCTGTGGTCCAGTGCAACACAGAAGTTCTTTCCTTAAAGCAAATCTGACTTTCTTTTGTCTCAAATTCAAATGAAATGTTCTCAAAATAAACAAGACCAAATATGGTCAAAATAAAAGGGGACCCAGTAACCAAAATTAGAGACACTTGGAAGCTGCTCTCCACTCTGCAGCTCCACTTAATTGTCTAGAAAGGACACACCCTTATGTGTATGGTCAACCAATATCTGAAAGGAAAACCTTAAAAAGAGTATATACCAGTGCCAGTCACAAAGGCTTCAAAGACGACTCAAAGTACCTCGTTTGAAATTGCACTCATTTCCCACGGGAGAACTGCAGGGGACAGGTGTTCGATGTGACGGGGTAGATTCTGCTTGGGGTCCCCATGTAAGGCAATGGTGACAGCTCAAGTACATGGGAGACCTAGTTTCAATTGCTCACTCCTGTTTTGGTCTGACCCAGCCCAGATTGGGCATCTGGGCAGTGAAACAGAACTTGCTTGCTCTCAAAGAAATGTTAAGGGTCTGATAATCTGACACAGAAATATATCCACTTACTAATCACATTTGAGATCAACCACTGCTTAAATTACTTACTTTATTTCTGAATAGGGGTCAACACTACACCTCCCCCCACTCCTTTTGTACGAAGAGTAGACTGTAGGAGTTGGTTTCCCAGTCTTTTTTGGTGAACTACTCTATGGATCCCAAGTACTGCTAAAAAGAAGCCCTACATAGCAATCAGTAACACTATGTAAACAGTTTGGAATGACAAATAAGCTTTTCTTTAAATTTACTTTTATTTGAGAGGCAAAGTTAGAGGAGAGACAATTTCTGCTTGCTGGTTTACTCCCCAGATGCCTACAAAGGCCAGAAAAGAGTTGTTCTGAAGGGAGCCTCCCAAGACCTCCCATGTAGGTGCAGGACCCAAGGATGGAGTCATCTTCCGCTGCTTTCACAGCCAGAGGCAGCCAAGATATGAACGAGCACCACATGGGACACTGGTGCCGCAAGTGGAAGCTTGGCCTACTATATACTATGGTGCCATTACTTACCAAGAGACTGTTTCAGTTCTGAGAGTGTAGGTTGCTCACATCTGCTCAGAGAGGCTTTGACTCAGTCCTTGAAGGTGCTGCCTTCCCTGTAGCTTTGTCGACTGTTTTCTAGACACTACCTCTCCTAATCCTGGAGACTGTTAAGATTTCTGGCTCTTCATCTTTCTCCAGAACACTCCACAGCTCCTCTGGGCCCCCTCCTATCAGGCTCTCCGACCCTCCATTTCTCCTTGGTGAAGTTCTCCACAGGATCCTTGACCACTCCTGCACATCCCCAGGTTACTTCTTGCACCTACTCAACGTTTGTAAGGTCACATGTTCACCACATCCTGGCATCATCTTTAGTGACTTTGGCCTTTTTTCCCTCATTCTCTTGCATCAACTCAGGTTATCAGCTCTACTTTGTACCTGCTCTAAAGCAGCTGAATAAGATAGGAAAGAAGCTCAGTATCTTGCTTAACTGATCACTTAGTGCTGGCTGGCAATCCCATTACATTCCTTCATCCTCTATTCCATTCTCTAAGATTTAAGAGACTGAAATAATTAAGTTTCTAGTTTACTGTATTCATAACTAAGAGGCATCCATCTACTAGTTCAGTCTTCAAATGCCCATTACAACCCACAGTTGGGGAAGGAATGAAAACCAGGCAGGGACTCAAATCTGTGTGCAGGCAGGAAGTGAGCTAATTGAGGCAAACTACTGCTTCTTAGGATTCATATTTGCAGGTCGGCAGGATCAGGAACACAGCCAGGTAGAAACCTAGCACTGCACCAGCCCCTCCTCCATTTCAAATTCTGCTTCTGCATCCTAACTCACGTGCCACACTGGACTTTCTGATCAAGTCACCTCATCATGGAGACCTTGTTCATCAGTGCACATTACCACCTTTCTAAACTTAGTCCTTTTCATAGTTCTATTTCTGAGAAAGTAGGGATTTCACTTCCGTTCACCACCTTTTTGTTACAAGCACCGACACCAGTGTTTTGCACTTAGACGGAGTTCAAGAAATGTCTGCTAAATAAATGATTAGGTAAGACGGACTTTGACATCCATGTTGCCAAAAGCATACAGTAATAATGATTAAATGGTTTTGATGCATGGCATATGGTAAACATCACAGCACAGTGTTTTGGGGACCGTGCTAAAAAGACCAGGACCAGCATTATGGCACAGCACATAAGTTGCCACGGGGGCTGGCTGGAGTCCTAGCTACTCTGCTTCTCCTCCAGCTTCCTGTTACTACATCTAGGAAACCCACAGGGGATGGTCCAGGAACTTGTGTCCTCGCCATCATGTGGGAAACCCAGATGGAGTTCTGGCTGGCTTGGGTGTGGCTCAGCCCTAACTGTTGCCAGTCATTTGGGAAATGAACAGTAACACGGAAAATTTCTGTCACTTTGCCTTTCCAAGTTTTATTTATTTGAAAGGCAAAGTTAGAGAAGAGAAACAGATCTTCCAGCTGCTGGTTCATTCCCTAGTTGGCAGCAATAGCCAGGTGTGCTAGGCCATAGGCAGGAGCCTGGGGCTTCTTGCAGGACTCTCCTGAGTGCAGGGCCCTGAGCACGTAAGTCATCCTTTGCTGAGCTCACGCGCCATTAGCAGGGAGCTGGACTGGAAATGGTGTAGCTTGGGGATCAAACAGGTGCCCATAAAGGACGCTGGCACTGCAACAGCAGTTTAGCTCACTACACCACAATGCCGGCACCATCACTTAGCCTTTCAAATAAACACAAAAGCAGGCCAAAGAAACATCAACTCCCATATACTAAGTTAAAAATTACTATTTTATATTTTGATAACTTATTCCTGCAGATTTCATGGTTAATGTTAATGCAAAAGAGTAGGCCTGATGCTTTACAATCTGATCAGAGATAATACTCAACAAATCACCAGAAAATCTAAAATCAGACACATGAAACAAGCTAAGAATAGTGCCAAGAAATCCCAAACAGGATTTTTCTTTGTAATATTGCACACTTTTCTCATGTATTTTCAAACTCTGATTCCAAGCTGGTGGTTATAAACCAGAAAATTTGGCCCTGGGCTTAGCTGCCTCTGTCCACTAAACACAGAGGTGACAGGTCTGTACCGACACCCTGAACCAGTTCAAGCAGGCATTTGTTTGGGAAGATTTCCTGCGCCCTCTGGTGGTTGTCACACCCACAAGCTACTTCACAGAGATTTTTTTTTTTAAAAGAATGTTAACAGATACTTACAGAAAGCTTTTCCACATCTCCCTTTAAAACTCGTTCCAAGTAAAGTTGTTTCAATTCTCTTTCCAATCGTGATGGCAAGCCAGGGTACATAGTAGACCCTCCAGAAAGCACGATGTGTTTATAGAATTCAGATCTAGAGAGACACAATGGAGAATTTGTGCTTACAGATTAGAAAGAGTACTGCAGGGATACTGAAATCAGCTTGAAGGAGTTGCTGGAAGAATAAAATCTTACATGTAAACTTCACGTAAGAATGTTCACTATTATAACAACCTCCATCTACACAAAATCTACTAAACTTTAAACATGACCTCTTTATACAGATGTAATTGAGTCTCTTCCTAACGATCCCGGCTGATGTTATTATCAAGTGCTTCCAGGAGCTGCAGAAGTCGTTTACTGTTAGCCATGTTCTCCTCTGATTACTGCTTCTCAATTCTTCTCACCTGCCTTTTGCAGTAGACCCTTTTGTTCTTTTGAAGCTACCTGTGTTATTTCTGGGTAGGCTGATACGGTTACTTTTTGTCGTCGTTGAAGATTCATTTTTATTTGAAAGGCAAAAGGAGGCAACTAGATCTTCCATCTGCTCCTAGGGCTGGTTCAAAGCCAGGCACCTGGTGCTTCATCCAGGTCTCACACATGGTACAGGGGTCCAAGGACTGTCCGTCTTCCCTACTTGCGTAAGTGGAACAGCTGCGTCTTAAACTCGTGCCCACATGGGATGCCGGCACTGCAGACAGCAGTCTAATGTGCAGCATGATAGCACCGTCCCACCCCCCACCATATGCCTTCAATGAACAGCACACACAAATTAAGTTTGTACTATATCACTGATACTAAATCAGACTCCTGTAGTGTAGGAATGTCAAACAATTTCAATTTTTGTTGAAAACGTTTTCTTTGAAAGGCTCTGCTGGCTCATTTCTTATCCTTTTATTTGTCCACAACAGCCAGTTGTGGGCCAGGTTGGAGCCCGTAGCCCAGAATTCACTGTGTCTCCCCGATGGGTAGCAGGGACCAAACACCAGGGCCATGTATGAGCAGGAAGCTGCAACTGGAAGCAGCATCAGAAATTGCACCCAAGACCTGGCATGGTGGCCTAGTGGTTAAAAGTCCTCGTCTTGCACACCGAAGATCTCAAATGGGCGCCGATTCATACCCCAGATGTTCCACTTCCCTTCTAGCTCCTGGCTCCAGATCCACTCAGCTCCGGCCATTCTGGCTACTTGGATGTGAACAGCAGATGGAAGATCTTTTTCTGTCTCTCTTCCTATCTGTAAATTTGACTTTCTGATATAAATAAATGTTAAAAAAAAAAAAGTTGATCCCAGGCACTCCAATAAGGGATATTCCATCCCAAGCAGTGCCAGATATTGTTATCAGATATTTCTTTGGCAGCCAGTTCTGTGGCAAAGCAAGCAAAGTTGCTGGCTGCTCCACTTCTGCTCCAGCTCTCTGCAAATGTGCCTGATCCAAGTTCCTGCTAATGCACTTGAGTACCCTCCATACTGGCATCAAACTGAAAAAGTGCACAGGAAAGCAGACAATCAGTGAAGAGACAACCTATGGAATGGCAGAAAAACCTGCAAACTCTACATGTAACTGAAAAATAGTACGTCAAATATGAAACAATTCAACAGCACAAAAACAACCTGATTAATAAATGAGCAAAGGGTCCGAACAGACATTTCAAAAGACAATACAGAAAACACCAACAGGCATGAGAAAAAGGCAACCGCCTGCACCATCATGGAAACACATGGAAGTGGCTGTTGCCCCATGACATAAGGTAAGTGTTGGTGAGGACTTAGAGACGGAAGCAGCACACACCCTTGGTGGGCACGTAAAGTAGCAGAGCCACCATGCACTATGGGAACTTCCTCACAAGTTATATAAAGCTACCATGGGATCCAGCCATCCCACCATGGGGCCACTGTGAATAGTGCTGCAAGGAACCTGGGAGTACAGATCTCCTCCCTCCATCCAGTGCTTTCAAAGCTTTTGCAAAGTGGGCTGACCTTGGAGATGTTGGTCAACAGATACAAAATGTCATTACAGGAAAAAGTTCAAGAGATGCATAGGATGGTGACTACAGATTCTTAAAGATTTGAGAAAACACCTGTTGCTTCCCAAGGTTTGAATTAGCAGAAAGCTGGAGCTAAAGCTAAAAAATAAATTCAGGTACTCTGAAGCAGGAGTCGGGCCTCTTAACTAAAGCCAAATACCTATTTTCTGGTGATTACAATTATATTACAGTATACCTAAAAATACCTATTAAAATACTTAAGTTATCATAAAAGCCCTACTGAGAATGCATATTATCTCAATTTAGCCACTTCACATGGCAAATATATTTCAGAACATGTATACCGTAATGTTCAATTTTTTTTGTCAGGAAGCTTAACAGCGCAATAGCGTAGTGTTTGAAGTCCTTGCCTTGCATGCCCAGGATCCCATACTGGCTCCGGTTCTAATCCTGGTGGCCCCACTTCCCATCCAGCTCCCTGCTTGTGGCCTGGGAAAGCAGTGGAGGATGACCCAAAGCCTTGGGACCCTGCACCTGCATGGGAGACCTGGAAAAAACTCCTGGCTCCTGGCTCTGGATTGGCTGAGCTCCAGCCGTTGCAGCTGCTTAGGGAGTGAATCGTCAAACGGAAGATCTTCCTCTCTGTATATTTGGTGTTCCAATAAAAATACATTTTTTTTTTTTAGCATGCAGCTTAAGGTGAAAATGCCCGTTTCCCACATTAGAACACTGGCCCACACAGGCTCCTCCTCCAGCTTCCTGCTAACGCAGTCTGGGAGACAGTGGTGACAGGTAAGTGGTTGGGCTCCAGCCACCCTCATGGACCCAGCCTTGGCCTCTGTGCCATTTTGGTATTTCGGTAGTGCTGAACCAGAAGATGAGATCTCATTCTTTTACTTTTGCTCTCCCTCCCAAATAGACATCTAAAATTTCAGAAAAAAAAAAGTCTGCATTTATATTGACCCAGAAATTCCTCACACAGAATAAATACTAACATTACATTGCAGTGCCTGCAATGCCAGCATCTCAGTGGACATGGGTTTGAGTCCTGATTTTTTTTTTTTTTTTGGAAAGGCAGACTTACAGACAGAAGGAGAGACAGAGAAAAATCTTCTGTTCACTGGTTCACTCCCCAAGTGATTCCTAGAGCTGAGCAGATCTGAAGCCAGGAGCTTCTTCCGAGGCTCCCATGTGGGTGCAGAGTCCCAAGGCTTTGGGCCGTCCTCTACTGCTTTTCCAGGCCATAAACAGGCACCCTCATGGGGTCCTGGCACATGAGGTGACAACTTAGCTGCTGAGTCATTGCGCTGAGCCTGCTATTCTACTTTGATCCAGCTTCCTACAAATGTTCTTGGGAGCTCTGAGGAGGATGGCCCAAGTGCTTGGACTCCTGTACGCATGTGGGAGACCTGGAAAAAAACCCTGGTTCCTTACTTTGGACCAACCCAGTACTGGCCATTACAGCCATTTTAGCTGTGTACCAGTGGATGGAAGATCTGTCTCCCCTTTCTCTAATTCTCTCTTTAACATAAATAAATTTTCAAAGACAAAACCTTACATGCATGCAGAATAATTAGTTTTATCAACACAAATACTGTACCTAAATTACCATAATGAGGGAGTTGCTCTGGCAGTGGGTTATGCCACTATCTGCACCCACTTCTGATTCAGCTCCCTAATTTGCATGGGAAAGCATGAAGTAGCCCAGATCTTGGGCCCCTGCACATTTTCTGCAGAACTGAGTTCCAAGCTCCTGACTTAAGCCTGGCTCAGCCTGTAGCTGCTGCAGCCATTTGCAGAGTGAACCAGAAGATGGAAAATTATATCTTTCAAATAAACTCAAGGGGTCAGCATGGTGGTGGCCTGATCCTCCGCCTGTCACTGCCAGCATCCCATAGGGTGCCAGTTCAGATCCCAGCTGCTTCACTGTGGGTCCAGCTCCCTGTTTATGACCTGGGAAAGCAGTGGAAGATGACCCACATCCATGGGTCCCTGCACCCAGTGGGAGAACTGAAAGATGCTCCAGGCTCCTAGCATTGGATAGGCCCAGCTCTGATTATTGCAGCCATTTGGGCAGTGAGCCAGCAGAGAGAAACATTCAGAGATCTCTCTATAATTCTGACTTTCCAAGTAAAATAAGTAAATCTTTGGGGGAAAAAAATCAGTTACAGATTAACTGGGTATATTTACACAACACTATTATGCAACTTCCAAAATGAAGATAATCCCTATGAAATGATACAGCATTATTTAGGAAGTATTTCTTTTTATTTGTTTTGTTGCTTTACCAGTAATTATATGCTGCCTTTTGCATAAGAAGAAGTAAACACAGAAAGGATATTCCAGACACTTATGCCCGAGTGCAGCTGCCAGGGGTTCCTAGGATGACCTTCTCCCCTGGGACCTGGGGGAGGTCATGTGAGCACTCCTTTAGGTTCACAGGAAGCCTGGCAACAGGAGTTCTCTCTGCCCAGGGACAGAACAGAGAATGTGAACGTTCCTCTCTCCCTCAACATGCGCAGCCCACTCTACCCCTAAAAACAGCCCATGTTATCTGTGCTTTCCTCACCTGTTAAATGAACTTTATAATAAAAGGGGAGACTGGGATATGAATCACATAATTTTAAAAAATTGTTTGAAAGGTAGAGAGACTGAAAGAAAGTATGTACTGGCTCACTCCCCGAATACATGCAACAGCTGGAGTCGGGACAGGGCACCGTAGGGACAATGGATGAGAACGAAATTCACATTTCTTTCTCTTTATTTTTTACTGAAAATGCAGATTTAAAGTTTAAAAAGACAGGGCCTGGTGTGGTAGCCTACTGGCTAAAGTCCTCGCCTTGTACGCTCCTGTTCTAATTCCAGCAGCCATGCTTCCAACCCAGCTCCCTTCCTGTGGTCTGGGAAAGCAGTAGAGAATGGCCCAGGGCCTTGGGACGCTGCACCTGCGTGGGAGACCAGAAGAAGATCCTGGCTCCTGATCACCTCAGCTCTGGCCGCAACAGCCACATGGGGAGTGAGTCAGTAGACGGAAGATGCTGTCTGTCTCTCTTCTCTGCATATCTGAGTTTCCAATAAAGTTAATAAATCTTAAAAAAATCAAACAATCTCAAACTCTCTAACTGCACTGTGATGCCAAGTGAGTATCTGTTTTTAGGAAACAAACCAGTAAGAACTGATGCATTCAACCTACCTGCAGGTAGTAGAGAACAGAAAGAAAGATAAAGGAAACGTACAAAATGAAAGAAAAACAGTCAAACAGCAAATTCAGGCAAAAGATACATGTGAGTTTTTTAAAATTATTCTTGGAAACTTTTCTGCAACAAAAATAATACTGATGTTTTTTCTATTCTATATCTGATAATGACATCAAAATCATTATTCTAACATACCTGGTATCAATATCAGCTGCCTGAATTGTGTTAAAAAGCAATTCAGCAACACCAACTCCTTCAACATTGATCAAATGAGGCTGAAATAAAGCTTCTGGGGCTTCAAATCTCTCTCCCCCAACTTTGATAATGCGTCCATCTGGGAGCTAGAAACCAACAACAACCAGGTTCCAGTTAGTATAATATTAAAATCTGGTGTTCTAAGACACTAGGTCTTAGAAATACATTTAGTCATATATTTACAAAGGTAAATAGTTCATTCATTTAATCATGATGGTCTATTCTGTTTTTAGAAATGGTGTGCCATGCTCTCCAGTGCTGAGAATTTCTTGGAGAAGTCAGTGCACAGCTGCATGACACCCCATTTGTGTGTGCAAAAAGGAACTAACAGCCAACTCTACCACCCACTGGACTATTTGTGTTAGTATGCTTGTTCTATCATTTCAACACATTTATGATTTCATGGAGATTTCTATCATGCAAATCAAACAAATGAAGCATTTTTTAAAAATGTCTTTCAATTGGGCCCAGCGTAGTGACCTAGTGGCTAACGTCCTCGCATTGCACACCCGGGATCCCATATGGGCGCCAGTTGTAATCCTGGCAGCTCCACCTCCCATCCAGCTCTCTGCTTGTGGCCTGGGAAAGCAGTTGAGGATCGCCCAAAGTCTTGGGACCCTGCGCCCGTGTGGGAGACCCAGAAGAGCTTCCTGGTTCCCAGCTTCAGATCGGCGCAGCACCAGCCATTGCGGTCACTTGGGGAGTGAATCATCAGACGGAAGATCTTCCTGTCTCTCTTCCTCTCTGTATATCTGACTTTGTAATGAAAATAAATAAATCTTAAAAAAAGATCTTCTGTCTGCTGATTCATTCCCCAGATGGCCACAAGGGTCAGAGCTGAGCTGATCCAAAGCCAGGAGCCTCTTTCAGGTCTCCCATGCTGATGTAGCACCCCAAGGCTTTGGGTCATTCTTGACTGCCTTACCAGGCCACAAGCAGGGAGCTGGATGGGAAGTGGAGCAGCCTGGATACAAACCGGTGCCAATATGGGATCCCGACACAAGCAAGGCGAGGATTTTAGCCACTAGGTTACTGTGCCAGGCCTGCAGCAAACACTTTTTATGATCATAAAAGTTTAAGGTCCGGTGCTATGGCATAGTGGCTAAAATCCTTGTCTTCAAAGTACTGGGATCCTATATGGGAGCCAGTTTGGGTGCTGGTTGCTCCACTTCCCATCTCTGCTTGTGGCCTGGGAAAGTAATAGAGGATAGCCGAACGTCTTGGGACTCTGAACCCACGTGGGAGACCCAGAGGAAGCTCCTGTCTCCCAGCTTCAGATCAGCTCAGCTCTGACCATTGTGGCAATGTCAGAAGTGAACCAGCGGACAAAAGATCTCTTTCCCTCTGTAAATCTAGCTTTCCAATAAAAAAAAATCTTAAAGGAGAAAGGAAAAATCCGTTTAAGGAACACGGACCTAGAATACTTTCAGTTAGGCAGTTCTGTTGTATGCTACTAAAACCTTATAAACTGAAAATAACTGATCAGTACAACTTTAATTGAAGCAAATAAGACTAAAACAGGTCAAATATAAAACCATGGCCTTTAATAGAAGCTGGTATTTAATTAAGTGAACAATGTTAAATAGAAACTCTTGAACCAATTCTCTGGATTGATCCAAACAATAAACTTACTCATGTATACTGGCATTTGACATATTTCATCATGAAACATCAGAATTACTTTTATGTTTCTCCCCCTAAACTCTAGGACCATATTTTTTATATATTCTATAAAATTCTATAAAACAGAATATCAATACAAATGTTCTATTCTTAAAACATCCTCAGGTGAGTCTATATTAGATTACCCAAGACGTTCGGAAACACCTCAGAAAGCTGCCCCTTGCTAGCAAAGCCTCTTCCCATGCACCTCAAGCCTCCCGGAGGTCTCTCTCCACACTCGGGCTCCTGGGCTACATGGCTCCTCAGCAACCCACCTGTAGGAACTCTAACTCAACTGTGGGCAACCCACTGTTTTGCACTGAATCTTAACACATCATCTGCTATCAATTATTATTCTTATTCACGTACTCATTAATTTTCTGGGTTTTTTCAAAGATTTATTTATCTTTAATGCAAGTCAGATGTACAAAGAGGAGGAGAGATAGAGGAAGATCTACCATCCAATGATTCACTCCCCAAGTGACCACAACGGCCAGTGCTGTGCCAATCCGAAGCCAGCAGCCAGGAACTTCCTCTGGGTCTCTCATGCAGGTACAGGGTCCCAAGGCTTTGGGCTGTCCTCCACTGCTTTCCCAGGCCACAAGCAGGGAGCTGGATGGGAAGGGGAGCTGCAGGGATTAGAACTGGTGCCCATATAGGATCCCCGTGCATTCAAGGTGAGGACTTTAGCCATTAGGCTACCACACTGGGCCCCAATTTGTTATTTTATACTCATACTATATTAACTTACTTTCACAAAAAGAAGGGAAATAAATAAAACTTATTTTACATTTCTAGTTTTATCTTTTGCCTTGCACTACTCTTGTGTTTGTCTGAAAGGCAGAACAACAAAGAATGAGAGTGTGATCTTTGATCTACTGCTTTACTCTTAAGGCCACAATGGCCAGGGCTGGGCCAGCCTGCAACAAGGAGCCAGAACTCCATTCTGGTTTTCCAAGTGGGTAGGAGGGATCCAAGTACTTGGGCCATCTTCTATGATTTCACCATAGCATTAGCCAGGAGCTGGATTAGAAACAGAGTAGCCGAGACTTGAACCAGCACTATGAAATGGGATACCAGCAAAGTCACAAGAGTTGGCTTATCTGTGCAGCCACAACACTGGCCCTGCCTTGTAACACAAGCTTAAAAATAGATCCAGTAGATGGAACATTAGAAACCCAAAGAACCTTCATGGAGGCATTATTAAAAGCTGTGTGCAAATCAAGATGATTGTAAAATGTGTTTTACTGTGTACACACATCAGGATTAAAAGTCTCAGGGGTGGGTTTTTAGTACAATGGTTAAATTCGTTGCTTGGAACACTCACATTCCATATCAAAGTGCCTGGGTCAAGTCCCAGGTCCTCTACCAACACGCACCCTGCAAGGCAGCAGAGGACGGCTCCCTGCCTCCCACACAGAGAGACGATGCCTGAGTCCCTGACTCCTGGCATCAGCCTGGCTTAGCCCAGGCTTTCATGGCCATTTGGGGAGTGATCCAGAAGACAGAGGACAGAGATCACCTCTATGTCTTTCAAATAAGTGAAAATAAACAATTCAAAAAAGTTTCTGATTACTTTAACAATGACTACCTTAATTGTGAATACGTAGAGGTAATACTGATTGCAATTTAATAATACTTGATTTTTATTGTCTATTACTATTTCATTTTAGAAATTAGAAATTCCGGTCCGGTGCGATAGCTCAGTGGCTGAGGTCCTCCCCTTGCATGCGCCAGGATACTATATGGGCACCGGTTCTGCACCAACATGTAAGACCCAGAGGAGGCTCCTGGCTTCAGGTTGGATCAGCTCCAGCCATTGTAGCTGCTTGGGGAGTGAACAATTGTAACAAAGATCTTCCTCTCTGTCTCTCCTCCTTTCTGTGTATCTGCCTTTCCAATAAAAATAAATAAATCTTAAACAAAACAAAAACAAAAAAACTTCAAAGGTGGTACCCGGCAGGGTAGCCTAGTGGCTAAAGTTCTCACCTTGCAGGTGCTGGAATCCCATAAGGGTGCTGGTTCATATGCCAGCACCCTGCTTCCCATCCAGCTTCCTGCTTGTGGCCTGGGAAAACAGTCAAGGACGGGTCAAAGCCTTGGGAACCTACACCCATGTGGGAGACCTGCAAGAGGCTCCTGGCTTCAGATCGGCTTAGTTGCAGATACTGTGGCCACTTGCGGAGTAAATCAATGAATGGAAGATATTCCTCTGTCTCTCCTTCTATTTATCTGACTTTCCAATTATAAATAAATAAAATCTTCATGAGAAAATAAATTCAAAGGTGACAAAAAAGTACTTTCTATGAATTCAACTGGTTAAAGAAATTAATTCATTGGGCCCGGTGCAATGGCCTAGTGGCTAAAGTTCTTGCCTTGAATACGCTGGGTTCCCATATGGGCACCGGTTCTAATCCCTGCAGCTCCCCTTCCCATCCAGCTCCCTGCTTGTGGCCTGGGAAAGCAGTGGAGGACAGCCCAGAGCCTTGGGACCCTGCACCTGCATGAGACCCCCAGAAGAGGTTCCTGGTTCCTGGTTTTCGGATTGGCGCAGCACCGGCCGTTGTGGTCACTTGGGGAGTGAATCATCGGACGGAAGCTCTTCCTGTCTCTCTTCCTTTCTATATATCTGTCTTTGTAATAAAAAAATAAATAAATCTTTGAAAAAAAGATTTTTTTCCAATAAAAATTTCTTAAAAAAAAAAAATGTCAATTCATGAAAAATTCAGAGGTGCTGAAGTTGAGGCTCAGTTGGGGACAAGCCACCACCTTCTGATGCTGAAGCACGGGTTTGAGAACCAGCTGCACCTGGGGAAGCAGTGGTAAAATGCACAAGTACTTGGGCTTCTGGTGCCAAAAGGAAAGCCTAGATCGAGTCCCTCGCTCATGGCTTCAGCCTGGCCTAGGCCAGTTAAGGGGAGTCCATCTCTTTGCTGTGCCTTTCAAATCTTGGAAAAATTCTGGGAGAACCATTTCCTTTGGTGTTGTAAACTGTAACTAGGTTCTAACTCTCACCAGTTACAATCAGCTACATTAGGCGAAAGGGCCAGGAAATGCTGCCACCTACTGAATTAATACAGCATTACTTCCAAACGACGCTTCTAGGACTGGAGACTCACACCATGCTGGAAAGTTCCAAGGTTCCATAAATCAGAAAACAGGCAAAATATAATCTCATAGTTGTGAACATACTAGCTTATAAAAGGCTTTGAAGAGTCAAAACTGTCTCACATACTTGACAATTTCACCATTTTAACATTTTTGAAACAAATATCTGAGGGAAACAACATCCATTCTTTAAAACATGCTGCAAAATCCTACTGAATAATAGATTCTTGCCAAGTATACTAAAATAACTGAACAATCTTAATGAAGGAAGAGACATTTAAGTTATATCTATGTATGTCACAACTCAAAAAAATACTAGTTCAAGAAAATTTTAAGTACACACCAACAATTTTGTCTGCTCATCTTAAAATCACAAAGATTTATCATGCATTGTAAATACTTACTGTGTAAGATTCAACTAATACTGTGGTTTCTAAGGCTAGTTTCTGTTCTTGCTCAATATTATATCCAACATAACACAGTTTTTCTTTAATCATGCGAACTGTTTCAAAATCAGCAGAGTGGTTGAAGGCATATCCTCGCAACAAAAGCAACTGGTACAAAAAAAAAAGTGAAGTTCACAACAGATCTGAATTATTTTTACTTTATGAAAGCCATAAAAGGCCCACTAAATAAGTCACATCAATAATGAATACAATGGGTAATGAACTCCTAGCTTCTTCTGAATCTTCCAGAAGTGAGAGTATCACCTGCTACAAGAGGATTCAACACAGAGAAACAAGAAGAGGGGTTGGTGTGGCATGTCCATGCCTTTCTTCCACGGTCTCTGCATTTTTTGCAGAGCTTCCAACATGCTGTGTCAGGACAGCCTCAGTGTCCCATAGAGACCACTATGGGGAGGGTCCACGAAAGAACTTGCCATCTCAGAAGAAAACAAGCAGGAGTTACCTAACAGGGTGACTTTACTAAATTGACTGCACCCTTGATAATATAACCTGCTTAAGAAATACGGATTTTTGGCTCACTCATTAGCATACCGAATTTATCTGTAAACATGAATGCTTTTTCAAAACAAACTGTGCATATTATATAAGTTTCACAGAGAGTAACAGAATTAACAGTTAATGATTAACAAAGAGGTAAAGCAAATCAATTTTTAAAAGCGTACACTGGAGCCAGGATCATGGAGCAGTGAGTTAAATTACCACTGGCAATGCGGGTATCCTATATAAGAGCGTCAACTCAAGCACTGGTTTTCTCCTTCCAATCCAGCTCCCTGCTAATGTGCCTGGGAAGCCAGCCGACGATGGCCTAAGTACTTGGGTCTCTGCCACCCTGTGGGAGACCTGGATGAAGTTCTTGCCTTCATGATTTGACCTGAACAAGTCAGGCTCTTGTGGCCATTGGGGGAATGAATCATAGAATGGAAGAGCCCTGTTGTTCCCATTTCCTACTGCTCTGCCTTTCAAATATATAAATAAATTTTAAAGTATTGATGTTTAGATAGTTTTGATCATTAAGCCAAAGTACATCAGTAAGTAAATACTGTGTTGCTGCTGTTTGGGCTTCTGCAGTTGGCAATCTGCTCACAGGACCCATGTCGTACGTTACAAAATTCTTTAGGTCTTAAATAATTTTCTTTCTCAATCTCTATATCCCCTAGCATATAGTAAAGTACTTAAAAGAATAATATTCTAGTAGTCTATTTCTTAAATGCCAGAAATGGGAGCCAGCATGGTCACATACCAGGCTAATGCTCCATCTGTGGCACTAGCATCCAATATGGACACTGGCTCACATCCCAACTGCTTCACTTCTGTCTCTAACGGCCTGGGAAAGCAGCAGAGAATTGGGCCTCTGCAACCATGTGGGAGACCTAAAGAAGATCCCAACTCCCTTAAGATCAGGTCAGTTCCGGCTGTTAAGGCTATTTAAGGAATTCTTCAGCGAATGGAAGAACTCTGTCTCCTCCTTGTAAATTTGTTTTTTAGGACCTGACATAGTAGCCTAGTGGCTAAAGTCCTCACTTCGTATGCACTGGGATCCCATATGGGCAATGATTCATACCCCAGTGGCTCCACTGCCCATCCAGCTCCCTGCTTCTGGCCTGGGAAAGCAGTCGAGGACAGCCCAGAGCCTTGGGACCCTGCACCTGTGTGGGAGACCCAGAGGAAGTTCCTGGCTCCTGAGTGGCTCAGTTCTGGCCATACAGCTACTTGGGGAGTGAACCAGTGGATAGAGGACCTCTATGTCTCTCCTTCTCATTATAAATCTAGCTTCCCAATAAAAATAAACAGATCTTAAAAAAAAAAAAAAATCAAGCTTGAAATCCCCTAATTTTTGCACTCATGTTCAAAAGAATATCCTTGGAAACTCTGCTAGTTATCCTCAGAATTCTGGGTTTGCATGAAAGCTTTATAATTCTTCTTAACTTAATCTCCCTGTGTGATGAGCATCTTTCTCTTTTGAGGATTTATTTATTTGAAAGGTACAGTTACACAGAGATAGGGAGAGACAAAGACATCTTCCATCCAGCAGTTCACTCTGCAAACAGCCACAAAGGACAGCTGGGCCAGGCCGAGGCCAGGAGCCTGGGACTCCATTTAAGTTTCCCACATGGACGACAGTGACTGTTATCTTCCTCACATCAGCAGGCAGCTGGATCAGAAGTGCAACAGTCAAGACTCAAACTTGCACTCATGAGGTGCCAGTGTCATCAGCACCAGTTATAACAACATTGTGTGCCACAACACTGATCCCCAAGATAACTCTGAGACTGAAGGATCCTAACCTCAAGGAGAAACCTAAGGGACCATCGCTGAATGTACAAGTTTCTCAACAGCAGTACCACTGTCATTCTGGATCACAATTCATCACCGCAGAGTCCATGCTGTTCACTGTAGGGTGTCCAGCAGCATCTTCACCCTTTGACATTGCCTGCATCCCTGAGGTGTAGGGGCACACTGCACTGTCCATAGCTAATAGTCAGTGACTTTAAAAAGAATACAATCTGAACTTTCTGGGGGACCAAATGTTGCTAATTTAAAACACTGTATCTTATGGGGAAGAATAAGAAAATTCAATCAAGATTGTGGCTTAAAATACTTTGTTCAAAAAGTTTTGCTGTAGAAAATCACTCAAGGTGTCCAAGGAAGTCTGAAGGTCTCTTCCATCTTAGAAATTCATGTCTTTACATTTCCAGGAATAATAATTATATAACGAATCAATGTGTTCTTAGATCAGGTGTGTAACTCATGTCAGTTTTGACAGGCATACAGAGTAACTAAGTGATTTCTCTAGTGGAGATTTGCCAGAATGATATCATGGTAAGTTCAATTTATTTTAAATTAGTAAACAAGCTACAAAACCTAATCTGCATGAAGTTTTCTTTTTGCTTACCTTAATAAGGTATCTGGTAATATCTCTTCCAGCAATATCCAGTCTCCTGGTGAGGTGAGGGAGAGAAAACCCTTCATACACAGGGCAAATGTGAGTCACACCATCTCCAGAGTCCACCACCACACCAGTCAGTAAACCTATAGTTGGGGTTTTAGATAAAAAGGTAAGTCAGAAAAATCCAAATTTCAAAAATGGAACAAGCCAACTAGAAACAGCCAAGTGCCACAGCCTAGGAGCCGATGTATCTTTCTTTTTCATTTTGAAATTTGTTTCTTAAATAAAGATACTGAAGTGTTCTTTCCTGTGTATTTATAAAAAAAAATTTATTAATTTTTATTGCAAAGTCAGATATACAGAGAGGAAGAGAGACAGAGAGGAAGATCTTCTGCCCATGATTCACTCTGCAAGCGGCCTCAACAGACGGAGCTGATCTGAAACCAGGAGCCTGGAGCCTCTTCCCAGATTCCCACATGGGTGCAGGGTCCTTTGGGCCATCCTCGACTGCTTTCCTAGGCTACAAGCAGGGAGCTGGAGGGGAAGCGGGGTTGCCGGGATTAGAACTGATTGCCCATATAGGATCCCGGAGCATGCAAGGCGAAGACTTTAGTTGCTGAGCTACCATGCCAGACCCTCTTTCCTGTGTATCTTATGAGACTTTTAGTCTAATCACTTTGTGTTGAAGGAGACAGGGACATACCTCAGACTGAAAAATGAACAGGTTCTTACAGCACAGTACAACCCTTTATTTTTTTTTCTAACAATTCTAATCACTGACTTCCTTTTAAGTGAAATTTCCTAAAGCACCACAGGTACCTTTGGAAAACCACTGTGCAGTGACCACAGAAAGTTAAGAAGTGGGGCCCAGCGCAATGGCTCAATGGATAAATCCTCACCTTGCTAAGCCAGGATTCCATGTTGGTACCGTGTTCGTGACGGTTCCTGGCCTGGCTGTTCCACTTCCCTTCCAGTTCCCTGCTTGTGACCCGGGAAAGCAGTAGAGGACAACCCAGAGCCTTGGGAACCTGCACCCATGAGGGAGACCTGGGAGAAGCTCCTGGCTCCTGGCTTCAGATCAGCTCAGTTTAGGCTGTTGCGGCCACTTGAACCAGTGGACAGAAGATCTTCCGCTCTCTCTCCTCACCGTAAATCTGATCTGCCTTTCCGATAAAAATTATTTAAACCAATATACATACTTATAATGTTATTTTCCCATCTGACACACAACACACCCTCTTCTTTTTCTTAAAAAGAAAAAAAAAGTTATTTTTATTGGAAAGGAAGATCTACAGAACAGTATAAAGTTCTTCTGTCTGGTGATTGACTTTCCTAGTAACAGCCAGAGCTGAGCCAATCTGAAGCCAGGAGCTTCTTCCGAGTATTTCATCTTTTGTTGTTGCTACTATCAGGATCTGATTTAGGAGAATACTACTATGGCCTGAAGTTAATTTTGTTAATATTGGACTATGATTTCTCAAAGGGGTTCACTAGTTAGAAATAGTAAAGTGTCAGCAATTAAGAAAACATATTTAGGCCTGGCGTGATAACCTAGTGGCTAAAGTCCTCGCTTTGCATGGGATCCCATGGAAGTGCTGGACTGTATCCCAGCTACCCTACTTCCCCCTCCAGCTCCCTGCCTGCGGCCTGCTAAGACAGCAGAGGACAGCTGAAGCCTTGGGACTTTCCACCTGTGTGGGAATCCCAGAAGCTCCTGGCTGCGGATCAGCTCAGCTCTGGCCATTGCTGACACTTGGAGACTGAACCAAGTGTCTTTCTCCTCTCTCCTTCTCTGTAAATCTGACTTTCCAATAAAATAATAATTTTTTTTTTAAGCCAAAAAGGAAGAAGCACTTTTGAGGCTGGATTCAGCACTTACTCAGGTCCACTTCCCATTCAATTCCCCGTTAATTTTCCTAGAAAGGCAACAGAGGATGGCCCAAGTACATGTGGGAGACCAAAATGGAGTTCCAGGCTCTTTTTATTTTTTAATTACCTGAAAGTTAACAGAGAAGGACTGACAGAGATCTCCCATTTGCTGGTTCACTCTCTAAATAGCCACAATGGTCACAGCAGAGGCAGTCTGACGCTAAAAGTTTCAGAGCTTCTTCTGGGTCTCCCACATGGGTGCAAGTGCCCAGGCACTTGTGCCATCTTCTGCTGCTTTACAAAGCGCATTAGCAGGGAGCTGAACTGGAAGCGGAGCAGCCAGGATGTGAAATGGAGACCACAGGCGGCAGCTTACTCCTGCAGTCACAGTGCCAGGTCCAGCTCTGGCCTCCTGCTTCATTCTTGCCCAGCACTGTTGGGAAGTGAACTAGCACATGGAAGATTTTTGTTTCTTTTCAAATCAATTAATCAATCCTTATAAAGAAAAAGTTCACAGGGCCTGGCGCTGTGGCCTAGCAGCTAAAGTCATTGCCTTGAATGTGCCAGGATCCCATTTGGGCACTGGTGTCGATCCCGGCAGCTCCACTTCCCATCCAGCTCCTTGCTTGTGGCCTGGGAAAGCAGCCGAGGACGGCCCAAAGCCTTGGGACCCTGCACCCACGTGGGAGACCTGGAGGAGGTTCCTGGCTCCTGGCTTTGGATCAGCGCAGCACCGGCCATTGCGCTCGCTTGGGGAGTGACTCATTGGGTGGAGGATCTTCTTCTCTGTCTCTCCTCCTCTCTGTATATCTGACTTTGTAATGAAAATAGGATAAATCTTTAAAAAAAAAGTTCACAGAAAAATTTTTTCAAAATGCACCACAAAGGCCTGGCACAGTAGCTCAGCAGCTTAAGGCCTCACTTTGCATGTGTTGGGATCCCATGTGGGCGCTGGTTCTGGTCCCGATGACCCCCACTTCCTATCCAGCTCCCTGCTTGTGGCCTGGGAAAGCAGTCGAGGGCAGCCCAACCTACACCCACGTGGGAGATCTGGAAGAGGCTCCAGGCTACTGACTTTGGATCGGCTTAGCACTGGCCATTGTGGTCACTTGAGGAGTGACTCATTGGACAGAAGATCATCTTTGTCTGTCTCTCCTCCTCCTCTCTGTATATGTGACTTTGCAATAAAAATAAACAAACCTTTAAAACAATGCACCACAAAAAACGTGTTTTACTCCTATTTGTCCTTAAACTTTTTATTTTTTTTTTAAAGATTTATTTTTATTATTTTTTCATTGGAAAGGCGGATATACAGAGAGGAGAGACAGAGAGGAAGATCTTCCGTCCGATGGTTCACTCCCCAAGTGAGCGCAACGGGCCAATGCTATGCCGATCCGAAGCCAGGAGCCTCTTCCGGGTCTCCCATGCGGGTGCAGGTTCCCAAAGCTTTGGGCTGTCCTCGACTGCTTTCCCAGGCCACAGGCAGGGAGCTGGAAGGGAAGCAGGGCTGCCGGGATTAGAACCGGCGCCCATATGGGATCCCGGGCGTGCAAGGCGAGGACCTTTAACCACTTGCGCCACCGCGCTGGGCCCTGTCCTTAAACTTTTTATCAAGTTTTATTTGAAAGGCAAAGATAAAGATTTCCTATGAAGTGATTCACTTCCCAAACACCATCATACAATTAAAAAAATTTTTTTTAAGATCCGTTTATTTTTATTGGAAAGGCAGATCAGATTTACGCAGAGGAGAGACAGGAAGATCTTCTACCTACAGGTCCACTCTCCAAATGGCTGCAATGGCAGGAGCTCAACTGATCTGAAGCCAGAAACCAGGAGCTTCTTCCAGGTCTCCCAAGGCTTTGGGCCATCCTCTATTGCTTTTCCAGGTCAGAAGCAGGGAACTGGATGGGAAGCAGGGCAGCCAGGACATGAACCAGCATCCATGTGGGATCCTGACAGCTGCAAGGTGAGGATTTAGCCACTGAGCCATTGATTCATGCCCTACAATTCAAAATCTTTCTAGCAGAAACATCTTACCTTTGCTACCCAAAATTATACTCTTTTTAACAGGTTTCAAAAAATTCAAGTAAAAAATGTTGGCATTTCAAAACCTTTCGAAACTGTTTTTAAAAGTTCCTACAAGTTAAAACCATATAGATGCAAGCACTCTCTATAACTTTTGAATAATTGATTCTTCTTTCAAAGCAAAAATTACAAGTGGAGTGAACTGCTTTAAGGACAAGAAACTATGCCTATTGTACGCCCTGTTAACCTGCAGTACCAAACAGAGTGCAATGCAAATTTATTTAAGAAACAAGGCTCCTCTGTAGAAATTTAGCTCCTTTAAGTAAATAATTTGTAAGTTTCCACATGTAGTACCCAATGTATTTTAAAACCAATATGAAGCCACCACTTGGGACCAACACATCCTGTATCAAGAGTTGCCTGGCAAGTTCTGGCTACTCCGTTTTTGACCCAGCCTCCTGCTGCATCTGGAATGCAGTAGATGGTGAACCAAATACAAGGTCAGGGTTCTGCGCTCCTGGCAAGTAAACCAGCAGATGAAGAGCTCTTTCCAACACTCTACCTTTCAAATTAATTAACAAAATTTAAATAAAAACCTCAATGAATTTTTGTTTTTTACTAATCCAGATTCAGAATCATATAACCATGATAATGACTTGTTAAAGTTAACAAGCGATCAATTAAAGCAAAGAACACATTATTTCTAAGTACTAGGTACACAGATTCAGACTAGAGACTTAGTTCAGATATCACCTCCTCCAGAAAGCTGCCATGACATGCTGAATCAAAACTATGTTTCTGTATTTTTCTTTCCCCTAAGACTAACTGCCTGATGAGCACGCCTAAAAAGGCTGCTGGCATGAATCTGATCGTCCCATTGAAATCTCAGAAGCTTCCTGTTGAGAACTTTTAAGATAACCAAAAGATGTTTACTCTCTACTGTATAAGAATTAAAATTGCCTAACTACGATCTTTTTTTTAAATAGCATTTTGAGCTGATGTTTTCTTAAAGATTTATTTATTCTTATGGCAAAGTCAGATATATACAGAGATGAGGAAAGACAGAGGAGAACTTTTGTCCAATGATTCACTCCCCAAGTGACCACAGCAGCTGGTGCTGCGCTGATCTGGAGCCAGAAGCCAGGAGCTTTTCGGGTCTCCCACATGGATGCAGGGTCCCAAGACTTTGGGCCGTCTTTGACTGTTTTCCCAGGCCACAAGCAGGGAGCTGGATGGGAAGCAGGGCTGCCAGGATAAGAACCGGTGCCCATATAGGATCCTGGCACATTCAAGGTGAAGACTTCAGCTGCTAGGCCATCGCACTGGGCCCCCTATCTAGGATCTTTGTAATCACAGAACGCTAACTCACCACATGATTGTCCCTATGTATCAATCACAATTGCTCAACTCTTCGAACTGGTGAGTCTGTAACCTGTTTCTGGAGAGTGTGGGAGCTATGGCTGTAGGTCAGTATTACATCACCCTGGCCACAGCCACAGGATGATGGTGAGCAAGAGAGCTGATCAGAACCAATCATTCTGACAACTACATTGGAAATGTTCAAATAGTCCCTTCTCCCCAAGTCTTTACCCTGGGAAGAAACCAGCCTCAAGATTTGGGATCCACTGTGTCAAGAGTCAGGTTTCCTGGAAGCAAATCTAATGCGGAATTGAGAGAACTCACCTAGATAATGTCTAGTCAGTGCCATACCAAATTCAGTCATGCCTGAAGTTAGTTACACAGTAGTATATTCTAGTAAGCAAACTGATACAATACTCATCTAAAAAAATTTATGATGAGGAAGTTATCTATGGTATGTAAATACATATTGCACAAATCACTGTATTTAAACTATAAAGGGGAGCCTGGTGCAGTAGCCTAGTGGCTAAGTCCTCGCCTTGCATGCACTGGGATCCCATATAGGTGCTGGTTTGTATCCCGGCTGCTTCACTTCCCATCCGGCTCCCTGCTTGTGACCTGGGAAGGCAGTGGAAGATGGCCCAAGGCTTTGGGACCTGTACCAGTGTGGGAGACTCGAAGAAGCTTCTGGCTTTGGATCAGATTGGCTCAGCTCCAGCCACTGCAGCCACATGGAGAGTGAATCAGCAGACGGAAGATCTTTCTGTCCCTCCTTTTCTCTGTTAATCTGCCTTTATAAACGTTTAAAAAGTAAATTTAGTGGTTTTATTTATGCATATGTACATCTATAAAGGAATTTACTTAATTTTCCTTTTATTTAATGGAGAATGGGTAAAACAAAACATTTTATACTTGCCCAAGACAGAGAACACATCCTTTTTTCCCTTTAAAAAAAAGCTTAACTCTTTCACTGCTTAATAAAGCTAATAAAGCATATGCTAAATCCGGGGTAGGCGTTTGGTAAGCAGCTAGGCCACCACCTGGGACCCCGGCAGCCCACTCCAGCGACCTGCATTCTGGCTCCGCCTCCCATGTTGGTGTCACGCTAGTCTGTACCTTGGGAGATAGTAGGTGATAGCTTAAGTGATTACCTCCCATGTGGGAGGACTAAGACTGGATTCCTGGCTCCTGTCCTAAGACAGACTCAGCCCTGGCTGTTGAGGGTATTTGCAAAGTGAATCAGCAAATTAAAATACCCTCTCTCTGTTTCAAACAAAATGAAAGCAAATTTCAACATATATGAGAAAACTTCACAAATTTTACAAATTGTGAAAGTATTTCATAGTGTGATATATAAATAATGGCTAGTGCAATGGATCAACTGGCTAATCCTCCACCTATAAATGCCAGCATCTCACATAAGTACCAGTTCAAGTCTTGGCTGCTCTACTTCCTACCCAGCTCCCAGCTTATGGCCTGGGAAAGCAGTAGAAGATGTCCCCAAACCTTTGGGATCATGTGACCATGTGCCCATGTGGGAGACCTGAAAGAAGCTCCTGGCTCCTGACTTCAGATCAGCTCAGTTCCAGCCACTGCAGCTATTTTGGGAGTGAACCAGTGGATGGAAGATCTTTCTCTATGTCCCCTTTTCTCTATAATCTGCTTTTCTAATGAAAAAAAAAAATCAAATTTATAAATTTAGCATGTAATTTTATAAATAAGATTCACCTACCATGGGTGCAGCACTGAGCCACAGCGAGTAAATCTGTTACCTGCAATGCCAGCATCCTATATGGGAATCTGTGTCCAACTCCTCCACTTTAATTCCAGCTACCTGCTAATGGTCTGGGAAAAGCAGCGGGCAGTGGAAGAGGGCTCAAGTTTTTGGGCTCCTGCTATTCACACATGGGAGACCAGATAAATTTCTTACTTCCTGGCTTCTCCTGGCCCTACCTTGACCATTTGAACCAGCAGATGGAAGATCTCCCTCTCTTTCAAAGAAATTAACACTAAAAAAATAATAATAAATAAATAAAAATTCACTTACCTTGAGCATATAAAGTCAGAACTGCCTGGATGGCTACATACACTCCAGAAAACTGGTAAGTTTCAAACATTACCTGGAAATGCAGAGAAAGTTATTTCATAAATATGAAATATGCCTTCTTCATGGTCACAGAATATACTAACTGCCAAAAAGAATGAAAACACTCCATTCTCATTAGTTTCTATAGTTTCTGTAAATTCTCACTGTCACAGAACTTCAACCCTGAGGACACAGTTTTGGATGCAGCCCGACTTCCTTAACACTGCATAAGGGCTACAGAGTAAAAATTTTCAAGTTGTCAGTTAATGGCTAATGAATGTGAAACAAGCATTTTTGCATTCGAACAAGAATTTCTTAATGTTGCTTAAAGGGAGTATCTTTTAATGCCAAAAAAAATGTTAACTACTGAGAACTTAACTACTGAGAACGTCTATGTCTCCCCCTCCAGCCATGAATGTGGCTCTCCCCTCAGCAGCAAGAAAGAAAAACAGGAAAGCGAAGACAAAAATGAATGTCATTTGCTCCCAATTCTGCTTAGCTGCTGAGTCCACAATTCCCTACCACAGCCAAGAGGAAACTGCTGAAACTGCACTGCACTACGAGCTGACTTCTAGAGAGGGGAAGTTTTGGGAGTCCTTTCTGGTTACACTCAAGGTCATTTTCAGCAGCCTAGGTAAGCAGGAACAGGGCATGATTTTGGGGGGTTCGTTCTAGTCTTCATTGAGTGGTATGACTATGTGAATTTCAGTTTAGAAATTTAGAAATTTTGTGACTGATAGTAGGCATTATACAAAATTAGTGTTTTGTAACTCTGAAACATACACATACCCATCAACTAAGCAACCAGATATTCTGGTTGTTATTCTATTCCATCATCCTTTAATTGCACACCAAGGAGGTGAAAATGAAAGAAGTGAAAGCCTGTTAGAATCTGGTTTTATTTCTAAGACTATTAAAAACACCACTAACACACTTTTTAGGTGAGATTAAAGGCAGACATTATCAGTCACAGCTGTTTGAGATCATAGACAAAGAACATTATAAACCATAAAGAACGAAACAACTGTACCTAAAACCAATCATCTTTAATTTTCCAGGCACTTAACAATGCAATTGAGTTTTAACTCAGACTTTCAAACTGGGCAATTGATGTAGTGGTTACTGAAGTGCATGAGTTTCAGCCTTGGCTTCTTGCTGGCACAAACCCGGGGAGGCGGCAATGATCAAAGGGTTGGTTCCTGCCACCCAAGTGGCAAACCTGGATAGCTTTTCCAGATCCCAGATGTTTTGCAAACAGGCAGATGTAAGAGCCCTTTTTTGCTGCCTCTCAAATTATAAACAACAACAACAAAAAACAAATTTCTTTTAAATTCCTTCTAAAATTTCCATCATCTAAATATATTGAGTAAATCAAAATATATTACTAACTCGGTAAAAACCAGAGAGACCAAAAATTTCTCATTTGTTAGTAATAAAACTATTTACCTCATGAGCTTTTCAATTGCCTTCAGCAGCTCTCTGATCCCTGGCTACTTCACCACCCTCTACTCTCATTTCTTTACCAACTATTCATCTACACCCTGATGACTTCCAGTTTATATCCAGCCCCAAGCTTTTCTCTTGACCTCACATACACATCTATGACATTTCTGCTTGGCTCTCTAACAATGATCTCAAACTTAATGCCTAAAACTCAATTCCTGATCATGCCCTACCTCAAAACCTGTGGGCTGTTTTCCCACCTTAGTTGTTGGTAATTCTATACTCCAGCCACTCAAGTCATTTTAAGTAACCTGTACTGGAAAATTCTCTGGCACTACCTTCAAAGTAGACCCACAATCTGGTCATTTCTTAGTACTTCTACCATAGTAGTTCCACTAGTCCTGATCCTAACCAGCCTTATCTTTTGCCTAAATAATTGAAAGAATTCCCAAATGGGTCTCTATTCCAATCTGCATCTGAACATTTCCCTTCTTTTCAACCATCCTTCATTTCACACAGAGCAGAAGTCCACTTTCCTCTAAGAGCGTAAAAGGCTCAGTGGCCCAGAGCTGTGGCTCAGCAGGCTTTTCCTCAACCATGTGGTGCCAGCATCCTGTATGGGTGCTGGTAAAAGTCTTGGCTGTTCTACTTCTGATCCAGCTCCCTGCTAATGTGCTTGGGAAAGTAACAAGAGATGATTCAAGTCTATGGGCCCCTGTAACCATGTGGGAGACCTGGAAGAAGCTCCTGGCTCCTGGTTTTTAACTTGTCAGTTCTGGCTCTGTGGCTATTGGAGAATGAATCAGCGAATGAAAGACCTCTGTATCTTCTCCTCTCTCTATAAACCTGCCTTTAAAATTAAAATTATTTTAAATATTTAACAATTTTAATTTGAAAGAGAGAATGAGAGACAGAGGGTGAGGGATCTTTCCCCAGTTAGTTCATTCCCAAAATGGCTATAATGACTGGGGCTGAGCTGGTCAGAAACCAGGCATTTTTTTCCAGGTCTCCCACATGGGTGCATGGACCAGAGGACTTGGTCATCCCCTGCTGCTTCCCCAGGCCATTTGCAGGGAGCTGGATCAAAAGTACAGGAGTCAGAACTAGAACTGGTGCCTTATGGGATGCTGGCTCCAGTGGTGGGGAAAGCAGGGAGATGGAAGCTTTTCTCTAAGCTCTTTGTGAGCAGGATTTTGTTTTGTTGATAATACAGAGAAATACTAGCATGTATGAAACATCCTTTGCTCAAAATGCCTGGGACCAGCTGAGTGCAGATTTTGGGTTCCTAACATTTGGAAATACTTGATACTTCACAATTTGAGAATCTTTAATCCATAACCTGAAATGATTAAAAAATCTCAAGCTTTTTGAATGTCAAAATAACACTCAATGACTAAGTACAAAAGCACTCAATAAACAAGACTTAGGGAAAAAACACTGATTTGTTTCCTAAGCAGAGGTGGGGAGCATCTGGCCTTAGACTCTGTAAGTCCTGTGAAGTCATCAGGTCTAACTGAGGCAACTGCAGACGGTACCAGAAATTCAATCTAGGGCCAGCGCAATCGTTCAATTGGCTAATTTTCCCACTGCAAGCTCCAGAATCCTGTACTGGTGCCAGTCTGTGTCCCAGCTGCTCCACTTCCCATCAAGCTCCCTGTTTGTGGCATGAGAAAGCAGCAGAGGACGGCCCAAAGACTTGGGATGGATTCTGCATCCATGTGGGAGACTCAGAGGAAGTTCCTAGCTCCTGGTTTCAGTTGGTTTCAGCTCTGGCCATTGTGGCCAATTGCAGAATGACCCAGTGTATGGAAGATCTTTTTCCTTCTCTCTGTAAATCTGCCTTTCCAATAAAAATAAATAAATCTTAAAAAAAAATTTTTTTCAATAAATCTGTAGCAGGCTATCTTTTTTAGTCATAACTTGATGTGGCATAAAAATGATGTCATATATATCCTAATGGCCCTTAGCAGGAAAAAAAGAACTCTACCTCAGAGGAACTCATTTGCATACTCCATATAGAAACTCACCTCTACAATCTTCTCTCTGTTTTTGGTTGGGTTCATAGGAGGTTCTGTAAGTAAGATTTTACAGTTTCTGGTATCTATGTTAAGTTTCTCTGGTCCAAAGGTATAGTCCCACAGATGTTTCATGTCATCCCAGTTCCGTACTATGCCATTTTCCATAGGGTAGTTAACTTCTAACATCGAGCGTAATTCACTTGCCTCATCACCAACCATTAGATCCTAAAAAAAGGACAATTTCAAAGCTTTAAATCATTCAGATTTTAGCACAGAATAGCTTCAGAGCAGTATATTCCCATGACAGTTCAGAAAACTCTGGAGTAATTAATTTTAATATTTTTGGTACTTTCAGATAGTTTTCAATTCCAAAAAATTTTTTTAAAATTTGTTCCCAAAACAAGCTCTTAAGTTTTAATCATGAGTAATAACACATTTTTATGCACAATGTGGTTTAAATCAATAAACTGACCTTACCTTTAACATACATGTTCCCAAAAGAAGAGAATTAGCACAAATAAACCCCACATTTTCACACTCTGAAGGGTTTTATATGAGGTTTCATCTGTTTCTTTTGCTCAAATGTTCAAAAAATAAGGCCTGTGATATGTGAAATAGCACATCAGGGAAAAAACTTTGTAGAAAAAAGCTCAGCGCATGCAGTGCATTTCTTTTTCTTAAGATCAGAATGAGAAATCTAAGTATCATACAATATAACAAAAGATGCAAAAGATGACTTTTTCTCTACAGTAATGCACAAACCAGTTAATTTCACAAACTTCTATCTACACGGGCCCCACCAACATGAAGGAGAATTTGCAGGGAAATAAGAAATAAACACAAACAAGTTTAAAATTTTCTCACAAGTAACATTTTCAATGTTAAAATGTTATTCTGGAGACAGTGCTATCACTGGAAATGTAACATTCACAAGCCTTGTCTCCCTCCAGTGAGAGCAACTTAGACAACCTGCATTCAGAAAGCCAACCTGGGCATGCATAAGAAGGCTACTGAAGTCTAGAATCAAGCTAATTTAGAAATCAGTTGGTCAAAATATTGATATTAATTTTCATTTGTGCTGATAGGAAATTGATCAGAAATTAAGCTTAATTCCTAGCATCAGGAATGGCCATTTGCTATACAGCCTTTTTAAAGTTCAAATTACAGGAAATGAAGAAAATCAGTGACTACGTGAATATGAGATATCTTATAATGGAGGTTAGAAATATTTGGGCTTTAAATTTAAAAGATTTTAAAATAAAACAAAAAGCAGAAGTAAAATCTATAAGGACTCTATTAACAATCCGATTTCTGAAAATTCACTGAAAGCAACTTCCCAAAGGGAAAACAAAATCCAGTTACTACAACTTATTCAAATTTCTTAGATATCATATTTGTAATCTTCTGTGAAGAGCACAAAAACTACAGCTCTGTATTTACTAACTCTAGATAATGACATACACAGGCTGAAGTATTCAGGCATGGCAACTGACATCTGCAACTCACTTTGAAATACATAAAAAAAAGATGAACCTGGTGGACAAAAGAAATAGGACAGATCAGCACAGCACACAATGATGTGAGGGATTAGGCAAAGGGTACTGGGCTTACCATAAAACTTCACTACACATCCTAAAGACTGCTTAATAAAATGTTGGTGGGGGAATCCATTACCACAAGTATAAATTCTATTTTTAGACAGTAACAATGTTAACTGAATACCCAATTTTGACACTTGCCTTTTACCTTTTTTGTATTATGCAAGATAAGCTATTAGATGGTTTAAGCAAACAGTATTATTTCAACCAATTTAGGTTAAACGTGATCTGATAACAGAATATTTATTTTTAATTCTATGCAAAAATAGGGGCTTACATATGTCTGAATCAGTGCTACTTCAAAATAAAAGCTTGTGTATCTACTTCGTGGGCCACACATATACTACAAAGGACAGACTGAAAGGTCTGTTGTCTGCTATAGAGCATCCCTGCTTCACTCTGAATAAAAAAGGCAGAGTGAAAGAAAATATTAAATATTTGGGAAGCGCAAAATTTCTTGAGTAGCTAGTTGAACTATCCAATTAAAAATTTTTTAATTTAATTGAATTTAATTTTTTAATTTAATTTAATTGAAATTTTATAATTTTAAAAGGTTCTATAATCTATAAGCCTTTCCCATAAATCTCAAAACTTCCCAAAGCAACAAAAGCTAAAAATGTGATACTGACTTGCTTTCATGTCTCAGAACTGAATCATGATCAGGTCTGGTCTTAAGTTTTAATCACCTGCCTCTCTACTGAACTTCCAAGTCTAAACCATCATCTGTAACCTTAACAAAAAACAGCCACTCATATACTGTTTCAATGACAATAGAGACTATTTGCCCACAGTCATTTTATGCCACCTTTAATTAGGAAATAGGGCAGGGCCTAGCAGCTAAAGTTCTCGCCTTGAAAGTGCGAGATCCCATATAAGCACTGGTTCTAATCCTGGCAGTCCCGCTTCCCATCCAGCTCCCTGCTTGTGGCCTGGGAGAACAGTCAAGGATGGCCCAAAGCCTTGGGACCCTGTACCCGTATGGGAGACCTGGTAAAGGCTCTAGGCTCTTGGCTTCAGATTAGCTCAGCTCTGGCGATTGCAGCCACTTAGGGAGTGAATCATTGGATGGAAGATCTTTCTTTCTGTCTCTCTTCCTCTTTGTATATCTAACTTCCCAATAAAAACTAAACAAGTCTTAAAAAAAAAAAAAAAAAAAAAGAACAAATCTTAAACCACAATGATATACCCTGAAGAAAATTCCATTAAAAGAACTATGGTAAATTAAGCCTAGACTGTTTTCCATGTATATGTACAACCTTTTCTTAATCTCCTTAGCAGTTTATGACAAATGCATGTTCTCTTATGTAAGCTAAATACAAGTAATTTCCACTTTTAAATGCTTTTGTTTACTCAGAAAGAAATTCCAGTTACTGTTACTAGGTAAAATATATCATTAGATATGGCTAATACTCTTGTCAAAACTTCTTATAAACACAAACTTGAAAATACCCACTATTTAGAATCACTTAGACTATCACTGAAAAAAATGTAATGGAAGAAGAGTTAGGTGTCTGGGACGACCCCATTAAGCTTCTGCCTGAAAGCAAGAACACTACACATTGGCTTTTTGGGGGGAGAAAAATCTATCATTCATGGAAAAATATCTCAAGTATTTTACCTTTTTGTTATTTATCCTAAGCAAGAATGATAAGGAAATAAATAATTATTCTATTTTTCTCATCATGGTTCATTTGCACATCAAAATTTACTCAGTTTATTAAATTCACACATGATAGCACAAAGAATGCAAATATGTATCTATATGTACACACTAGGATAGATGATGTTTAATTTAACATTAGTCAGTAAAGTGATTTATCTAAACGCAACTACATCACCCCAATTTTCTGGATCACACATGTCCTACAAATGTCACTTGGTTTCTATTATTATGCATACCACATTCCACTTTAATTATAACATTCATCTCTAAGAAAAACAAGGAAAACAATTCAAATCTATGTTAGTAATTAGTTCTTGCTTGGTCCATTGTATGCAATCAGGAAAGCATAGGACTTAATTAGTTGCTACCAAACCGAAGCAATGAAAATGGTTAAAAAATCAAAGTACTTAAAATAAAATTATGGAATTACCCCCTCCCCAAGACTAAAGGGACACAAAACAACAACTACTGTCCCATCAAGCAAAAGTGGAAAACAAACAGAGCATGTGTGTAACCTCACTTACCATCTTTTTGTTATTCTACTTCAACGGGTCAAGAAAGGTGAAGAGAGAGAAGGTAGAAGTAAGAGTCAGAAAAGGCCTAAATAAAATCCTCACTGAAATTTGTAAACATACAAGCAACAGAGACAAATTAGGTTGAGGTCAGATGCAGTACGACTATATTCTACGGAGTTAATAATTAGGGCCAACTTAACAAGGACAGTTAATACTCATGAACAGAAATTAACTCATTAATTTAAATTTCCCTTTAAGTTTACCATCATTTTAGCTAACAAGACATAAAAAGTATAAGTCAATCCACTAAGCACAAGAATTCCAAAAAGTCAAATGTTTTAAATTCATTACTGACTTTAAGAATGTAAAAGAAAATAAATGCAAATAGCAAAGGTTTAGATGAGCAGTAGAGTTAGGTAGTTTAGAGTTGTCTTCTCAAGTTCTAGCACTCAACTCAGACTATCTAGTTCTATTTTCTACTTGAAGAGCAATTTAATTTGAAAGGCTTGAAAGACAGAGTGAACAGTACTGAGTCTGCAGCACAGAAGGACAAACCACAGAAATCAATGCTACAGGGAAATTCTTCAACAAAAACGCTTTCCTAGATTAACTGGTTTGATTTCTATCATTTGACTTAAAAAACAAACAACTGGAAAGCTGGCATTGTGGCACAGTGGGTTAAGCTATCACTGGCAATGCTGGTGTCCCATATGAGCACTGGTTCAAATTCCAGCTGTTCCACTTCTAATCCAGCTCCTTGCTGCTAGCAAAGCAGAAGGTGGCCCACCTACACACACTCATGAGGGAGACTCAGCCTTGGCTGTTGCGACCAAGTCAGGTGAGAAGCAGCAGATAGAAGATGCCTTTCTCTGCATCTCCCTCACTTCTCTAACTCTGCCTTTCAAATAAGTTAATAAATCTTAAGGGAAAAAAAGTAAAGAAGTGGGAATGAAGAGAAATGCATTTGAGCTTTCATACACCGCAGAATAAAAACAGCTAAACATGATTTATCTTTATACCTCACTGTCAATGAAGTTATAAAAAAAGTCATTCTCTTGGGCCAGCATTTTGATACAGCAGGTTTGACAATGGCATCTGTTTTGAGGTTGCAGGTTCAAGTCCCAGCTACTCCACTTCCAATCCAGCTCCTTGATAATACACTGAAGATGGGAGTGAAAGATAGCCCAAGTACTTGGGTCCCAACCACCCATGCAGGAAACCAGGATGCAGGTCCTAGCTTCTGCACTCAGGCTTGGCCCACATCAGCTGTTACAGCCACTGCCATGCTTTCAAATAAATAATTCTTAAGGAGGTGGGGGGAGCTGTTCTTTTAAAGCCTGACACTTAATATATAAAAAATATTGTTTTCAACTTCATTTAAGATAGAATTCAACCAGAACGAAGAGATTTCACAAAAAGAGAGCAAGAAATCTCATGTTTTGTAAAAGACATTTAAAAAACCCTTATATTGGGTGTCTCATTTTTTGATAGCATAACAGAAGCCACAATCACTGATCACCTTAAACCTTTTAAACCATTAACACGGTATTAACTCTCAGTGGGTATTGTTCTTCACTAACTCCATTCTCTAGGCTCAATTGCAGAGAGCTACCACAGTAAACTGTTACTTCCTTTACCACCTTCCTAGATCTTAGACATCCCAAAGAAGCACACCCTACCTCATATTTCAAATGACTTACAACCTAAGAGCTCACTGAACTGTTGGCAGACAGTCTAGACAGGAACAAAAACATCAGCTTATGCACAACTAAGCTGCTACAAGAACTGCTAAATTCTATTTATATTCTATATAACTTGATAACTGAAGAACTGAAAGTCAACTGTTAATCATTGTTCTTTTGAATGTTCTTTCTTCTTAAATAATGTAATTTCTGATCTCTTCAGCATGGAGGGAAATGTTACCCTTAATGTAGTCTCTCAATCTATGTACAGGGAGCAGGCAATAACCAATTTATATTCTTTCTCTTTACCATAAATAAACAATGTAAAGCCAAATAAAGACTTGCATGGTTTCTCCAGCACGTTATGCCACTGTGGCATAGTGGGTAATGCCACTAACTGCAACACCAACATCCCATATGGGCACCAGTTTGACTCTCAGCTGCTCCACTTCTGATCCAGCTCCCTGATAATCATCTGGGAAAGCAGAGGAAGAAGACCCAAGTACCTGGGCCCCTGCACCCATGGTGGGAGATCCAGATAATGCTGCTGCTCCCAGCTTGTGTCTGGCCCAGCCCTGGCCATTGTGGCCACTTGGGAAGTGAACCAGCAGATGAAAGATTCTCTTTCTGCTTCTCCCTAACTCTACCTTTCAAAATAAATAAAGTAATAGTAGTAAGAAGAAACCAGTCATTAAATTAGTGAAAAGGAGAATCAATGATTTACATCCTCTGTTTTCTTGTTTAGTTACAAAAAGTCAGGGGACCAAACCATGAAAGCACAGAAAGAAAAAAATTGAAGATCCCAAAGAGACACTAAGACAAATTTATGGCATTAAAGAATAAAAATACCAGCCTGTTATCTTTTAAAAATTAAATAGGAGGACGTCATGTCACTAATACAGTTCCACATCAATGTAAAAAAAAAAAAATCAACACACATATAAACAAAATCAGATGAAATTAACTGATTTTCATGTCTTTGGGAAATTCTGCTTTCCCCTTTGCTTTTCATGGCATCACTTTTAATGCTACCTGATTCAAACAACAGTTCCTGGGTTTTTACAGTCATATGTCAATAAATAAGTAAAATATTACCTTGATTTCAATGTTTCCCACTCTGGTGGTTGATCTGATAATAGGTCTTCCAACCAAAGCTGGGAAGATGTGTTCTGGAAAATTAGAGCCTGCATATCCACACTTCACAAACTGGAAGGAAACAGTGGAAAAAAAAAAAACCCACAAAGTAAGTGTAAAGATATATACAATATTCATTTAACACTAGAATCAGAAAAATATTTATTGCTTAAACAACATTATAAACTGTCACCCACTTATTACATCACCCCCTTCTACTTACTATTACTGCAGTCTGTTTATTTCTGTTAACTGTTTTAGTGTCTAATCCCCCCCTAAATAGGAAAGTCGCAAAAGAACAAACTAACCTGAGCTGTTCAGCTAGAATTCAAGGACTAGGTCATTAAGCAATATGTGGGTAAAGGACAAATTCATTCAACAATGCTAAGTATTTTTTAAAAGACAGGGCTGACACAATGGTTGTAGCAGGTAAAAAGGCCTCCTGCAATACTAGGATTCCTAATGGGTTGCAGTTCGAGTCCCAGCTGCTTCACTTCCAATTCCGCTCCCTGCTAATGCACCTGGGAAAGAAGCAAAACAAAGCCAAAGTCCTTGCGTCCTTGCACCCAGAAAAGAGACTGGGAAGAAGCTTCTGGTTCCAAACTGGCCTAAATCCAGGTATCGCAGCCATTTGAGTAGTGAACCAGTGGACTGAAGATCTCTCTCCTGGTACCATTCTCTCTCTAACTCTACCTTCCAAATAATGAATACAATTCTCTTAAAATTAAAACAATTTAATTTAAAAAGGGATATCAGAAAACGAATAGGGCTTTAGTGTCAATTTTAAAGTGGGTTTTCTCTCATGCTGAGCAACTGCACTTAAGCAATCTCATGATCCAAAATGGAAAAGCAAATGCCATGTGAACTAGCAATACAGGAAAACTAACATTATTTTAGACTACTTGCTATATAAAAATATTTGCCTTGTTTACTTATTTGACAGGCAGACAGAGCACGCTCCCATCCTGAAATGCTTGCAATGAAATGCCCAGAGTTAGGCCAGGCAAGGCAGGGGTCTCAACCCAAGTCTCCCACATTGGTAGTAGGGATGATTACCTGCAGGCCTTCCCAAAAACATTAGCAGGAAGCTGAATCAAAAGCAGAGGAGCCAGGACTCAAAATGGTACTGATGCAGAAATACCAAGTGGCAGGTATTTAAAAATTTTATTTATTAATTTTCCTGAAAAGACCAGATTTATGGAGAGAAGGTGAGAGAAAAGAAAGTTTTTCTACCACTGATTCACTCCCCAGTGGCAGCAATGGCTGGAGTGGAGTTGATCCGATCTGAAGCCAGAAACATCCTCCTGGTCTCTCATGGGGGTGCAGGGTCCCAAGACTTTGGACCAACCTCTACTGCTTTCCCAGGCCATAAGCAGGAATGGAAACTCGATGAGAAATGGAGCAGCCAGGACATGAACTGGTGCCCATATGGAATCCCGGAGCTCAAATGGGAAGGATTAGCTAATAGAGCCTTTGTGTTGGCCCATTAAGATCAAGTACTACATGGAAGAGATGACAGAAAGCTTCAGGGTGGGTAGGGGAAGTTGTATGAGAAAATCTGAAAGTCTATCCTTAACAAGTCTTTAACCACCCTTGCAAAAAAGCAGTGGAGGATGGCCCATATGGGAGACCGAGAAGTTCTTAGCTCCTGGCTTCAGATGGTTCAGTTCTAGCTTATGGAGCCACTTGGGGAATGAGCCAGCAGGTTGAAGATCTCTCGTCTCTCCTTTCTCTGTAAATTTGTCTTTCGAATGAAAATAAATAATTTTAAAAAAAAAAACAGGATTTTTTTTGCTTACTGATGAATTTACCCAGGATATAACAACTAGTAGATAATTATTAAGATATTCAATTATTTTAAAATACAGAGGCAGGAACAGGTGTTTGACACAGTAATTTGACATACACATCCCACACTGGAGTGCCTGGTTTCAAGTCTTGGCTCCTGCTGATAAGCACCCTGGGAAGCAGTGGTGATGAATCAAGTAGGTAAGTCCCTGATGCCTGCCAGGAGACCCAATTTGAATTTCTAGCTCCTAGCTTCTGTCTGTCCCAGCCCTTGTTGTTAACGCATTTGGGGAATAAATCATTAAATTGAGGAACTCTCTGATTAAATAAATAAATAAATTTTAAAAAACCAAAAAGGAGGGGGCCCAACACAGTGGCCTGGCGGCTAAAGTCCTCGTCTGGCACGCACTGGGATCCCATACGGGTACCGGTAATAAATCTGGTGGCCCAGCTTCCCATTCAGCTCCCTGCCTGTGGCCTGGAAAAGGAGTAGAGGATACCCAAAACCTTGGGAACCTGCACTCAGATGGGAAGACTGGAGGAAGTTCCTGGCTTCAGATCAGTTCAGCTCTGGCCGTTGCAGCCACTTGGAAAGTGAATCAGCCAATGGAAGATCTTCTTCTCTCTGTCGTTCTACATATATGACTTTCCAATAAAAATAAAAATGAATAAATAAATCTTAAAAAAAAAACACTGCGGGCATTTGGCATGGCAATTAGGTGTCACTTGGGATACTTTTGTAGTTCAGGTCACAGTGCCTGAGTCCTAGTTCCACATTGATCCAGCTCCTTGCTAATACACACCCTGGGAGGTGGCAGATACTGTGTTTAGATCCCTGCCACCCATGGAGGGGACCTTGCTTGATCTCTCAGTTCCTGGTCTCCTCCCGGTCCAGCTCCAAGCATTTATTCTTTTTTGTTAAAGAAAGAAAAAAAGGAAGGAAGGATGGAAGCAAGCAGTAGAGGACAGCCCAAAGCCTTGGGACCCTGATCCTGAGTGGCTTCAGATCAGCTCAGTTGTGGCCATTTTGGCCACTTGGGGAGTGAACCAGAGAACAGATCTGTCTCTCCTCTGACTTTCCAATAAAAATAAATAAATCTTTTAAAAAAAATTAAAACAAAAAACCCACAATAAGTCCTCTGTTCTCACAGGTTTTACATACACAGGTGCAACTAACTATGGGTCAAACTATTAGAAAAAAAGAGATTTTGGGGCCAGGCACGATGGCGCAGTGGTTAAGGTCCTCGCCTTGCACGCCCAGGATCCCATATGGGTGCCGGTTCTAATCCTGGCAGCCCCGCTTCCCTTCCAGCTTCCTGTTTGTGGCCTGGGAAAGCATTCGAGGGCGGCCTAAAGCTTTGGGACCCTTCACCCGCACGAGAGACCCGGAAGAGGCTCCTGGCTTCGGATCAGTATAGCATCGGCCGTTGCGCTCACTTGGGGAGTGAATCATTGGAGTGAATCATCAGACAGAAGATCTTCCTCTCTGTCCCTCTGTTTCTCCTCTCTGTATATCTGCCTTTCCAATAAAAATACAATAAATCTTAAAAAAAAAAAGATTTTGTAATAAAAAATACATGCCATTTTGTCACAATTCCTTAAACAATACACTTAATTTATAACACATTACAAGGTATTATTATAATCTAGGGATAGTTTAAAGTATACAGGTCAATGTGTGTAAATATTACATCATTCCATTAGGAATTTGGGCATTTCAGGGATATGGTATTTGTGAAAATGTGCTTCTAAATGCCCATGGATACATTTAATAGTCACAAAAAAAAAACCCCAATATTCCACAGCTCCAGGTAGCACCTGTTTTTGGAAGAATTAATGATCAAAACAGTGCATGGATGCAATAAAAGACAAGGGCACAACATATTAACATAGTCCTTGACAGAAAGCTACTATTGTATAGGTACTGTCTTGACAAATCCTTCAAAACATAAAAACTCAGTTATTTTAATATTCAAATATCCCTGCAATCTCACTGAAAATCATGCTGATGAACTACTTATTTTTAATTGAAAAAAATTACATTAAAGGTGAAGGTTTTCTTTCTGCTGATTCATTTCATCTTAACTGCTGTACTCAACATCTGCACCAATGAACCACACAGAATTATAAATAGCCTAGAACATTCTGCCATCCAGAACCCAACCTCTTCTCTTATAAACAAAGCTTTTTCAACTATGTTTAAGTAATGATTTAAAAAAAATTAAACATTTTCTGAAAAATCTGTCTGCAATGAGGAAGTTTCCTATTCTTAGTGCCATCTGGAATCATATCCTGTCAGTTCAAGTTTACACTGTAGAGCCATCATAAAACAGACACTGAGATGTGTCTGTGGCCAAACCCACATCACCTAGAACTAATTCAGCACAGAGCCATTACAGCGAGGGCATTTTTCAGGAGCAGGCTACTCACCTAAGAGTGTAATATTGTAAAAACTCCGATCAGCTAATCTTTGAATATGTTAATATGTTATCCTGGTATGTGCACAGACAACCTACTGCTTTGTAGCTACTTCCTCATTTGACGAGAACTAGGATACAGAACTAGAATCTATTTCCCACCGCCAAAGAAATGCTGAAATAGGTTTGGGTGTAGGAATCCAAAGCCTTAGGCCAACCTCAACTGCTTTTCAAAAGCAGGGAGTTGGATGGGAAGTGCAGCAGCCAGGACACTAACTGGAGCCCATATGGGATCCTGGAGCTTACAACGGGGAGAATTAGCCAATTGAGCCATTGCACCAGGTACTGTTCTTAGTCTTTTCCCTATCTCCATTCTCTCTCCCTTTGTGTGTATGTGTATGCGTGTCTGAGATTTTGCCTTTCAAAACAGATAAATCAATTTTTAAAAAAAGTACACAGAGAAGCTGTAAGTCTGCAAGGGTCACTTCAGCATACTAAGTGTAATATAATTTTCTGAAATGAGCATCCTAAAAAGTTGAAATTGGGAGGAGACTGTTAAGACTTCTGTGTTCTGGAGCAGCACAGTGGTGTAACAAGCTCATCCTCCAGTTACACTGCCAGCATCCCTTACAGGCGTCAGTTCATGTCCCAGTTGCTCCACTTCTGATCAAACTCCATGCCTGGGAAAGCAGTGGAGGATGCCCAAGCCTTTGGGACTCTACCCATGTGGGAGACCTAGCAGCAGCTCCCGGCTCGGACCAGCTCAGCATTGGCTATTGCAGCTATTTGGGCAGTGAACCAATGGGCGGGAGAGTTCTCTTTCCTTTCTTTAACTGTCCCTTTACAATAAAAGTAAAACAATAAAAA